ATATACACAAACACACATATATATACACACGTAAATATATGTGTGTGAGAGAGAAAGAGGGGGAGAAAGTTCACAATATTTATCTATGACTAACAGTAATTTTCACGAAGTTATTGTTCATCAGGTTCAGATAAATATATATATATATATGTGCGTGTGTGTGTGTATAAATACATATATAAATATTTATATATATATATACATATATAAATATATACGTACATATATGTGTGTAAGAAAGAGAGAGACAAAGTTCACGATATTTATCTATGACTAACAGTAATTTTCACGAGGTTATTGTTCATCAGTTTCAGATAAATGTTTGCATGCATATATATATATATATATATATATATATATATATATATATATATATATGTATATATTATCATCATCATACCAGTTTTCGATTTGAGGTACTGAATCAACATTATCTCTCATGGTGTTTCTTGGATGACCTCTGAAAAGTCAGCCTTTGCAAAGTAAAACTCAATGATTTTGTTGCACACGAAGTTTCCATCTTGTTTTGAAAATGAACAAATAAGATTCTTGACATCTGCTGTACAAGTTCTTGTAGAAGATATTATGAGGGTTCATGACATTGGAAGTTCAATAGCATTTTCCGAATATTGTCTTTCTCAGTATGCAACGTCTTAAATAAGTAGTTAATGCGTAGACATTACCTACTCCGCTTATAAATATGACAAACTGGAAACTGTTTTGTGACGCGTTTCATCCGTTAGGATTTCATCAGTCTGGGCTTTGTTGACGTTGCCACGTCTACACATGCGCACGAAACGATAGACGCGGGTAATTAAAAAAAATTTTGAAAGAATATTTTTTTTTCAATCTAGCCAAATCCATCTGTATTCTTTTTTTCTCCATCACTTTTCCCTAACTATCCCACACTGACAATATAAAATCTATCAAGAATGGTGATATATTGTAATAGGCTGGACGCAAATTTACCGTGGTTGAACTAGCGATCAAGGCAACTTTCCAGACATTTTTGTCTCAGTGGATTATTTTGTCCTTTAATCAAGGTAGCATTCCCTATGTCAAAATTGTCGTCCGTTTTGTTATGTTGAACAGCCAATATGTTTTTTTTTTGTGTTGTTATTTAAAATGTCTATTTTGTTTACAATTCTTGAGGTTTTTCCAATGTTTTCATTCTGGCAATTCCTGCATTTGAGAGAGTAAATTCCTCCTTCATGTTTTGGCTGGTTGTTTTGTTTTGTATTGATAAAGTTTTGATTGTTTTAGATATAGTTGGGACAACTTTTATGTTGTGTTTAGATAAATTCTTTTTGTTCGTTGGGTTTGTCATGAAGGATATCTCTTCTATTGTGGAATATTTCATGAGCCTTTTATTTACTATTGAAAAATGAAATTCTTAGGATATTGAAGGGTCTTGAATGTATTTTCAATATATTTTCTCCTTTTTGTGTAAATATTCAGAGCTGCAAATTCTGAGTGCTCTTAAACAGAATCTAATGATCATTCCGGATTTTATTTTGTTGTTAGTATCACGAGAGTATATTAATATAACATCATCTATATATCAGAAGTAATTTGATTGTTTAGGTAAAATGTTTTTGGATAGAAGTAGACACACAAAATGTATTGGTTATTCATCGTAACAAAATGGATCATAATTTTGACATAGGGAATGCCACTTTGATTAAAAGACAAAATAATCCACCGAGACGAAAATGTTTGGAAAGTTGCCTTGATCGCTAGTTCAACCACGGTACATTTGCGTCCAGCCTATTACAATATATCACTAGTCTTGGTATATTTTATATCGTCATAGGGTGGGATAGTAAGGGGAGAAGGTGATGGGGAGAAAAAGAATAACAATACAAATGAATTTGGCTAGATTGAAACGAAAAATAATCTTACAAAATATTTTGAAACTACCTGCGTCTTTTTTTTTTTTTGTGCGCAACATCAACAAAACCCAGTCCGAGGAAATCCTAACGGATGAAATGCATCACAAGAAGTTTTCTAATTTGTCATATTTTTTTTAAATACTGTTTGTTGATATATAAAAATTTATATCATATATGCACACACACACACACAAAACATATATATATGTGTATATATGAAGAAAAATAGTTTAATATATATTTATGAGATAAAGTTCTCAATATCAGAGATAGATTTTTATGTAAATATAAAAAGGAATATTGAAGTCAACACTCAGAGGCAAAACACTATATATATATATATATGGAGTTGTTCTAATGTTCATATATATATATATATATATATATATATATATATATATATATATATATATATATATATATACTTCATCAAATTCACTTTTATATATATATATATATATAGTGTTGACTTAATTTACTTTTTATATATATATATATATATATATATAGAGAGTAAAGTGAATATTGTCAACACCAGAGGCGACTGTTTCAAAACAACCTGTTGCCCTGGAGTGTTGACTTCAATGTTCACTTTTATATTTATATTTACATACGCTCTATCTCTGATATTGAGCACTTTATCCCATGAATATAGCACACCTTAAAACTATATTTCTTATATATATATATATGTGTGTGTGTGTGTGTGTGTGTGTGTGTGTGTGTGAAATATATTTGGTGGACTCTCCCGTCGTATTCGACTTATGAGGTTCAAGCAGTTTAGTTCCTAGCAACCGACAGCCCAAACACCAGCACATATGAACCACACTTTTTGAAGGGCCGAATACTACGTGGCATAAGGGCCCCAAACGATTCTTCGCAGGTTTGAATTCCTTCTCCTAAACCAGTTGCCATCCAAGGCTATAACATCCAGCCTGTCCTGCTATTTATTCATAGCTGGAGAGAGAAGAAGAGGATTAATACCTTTCCTAATGGTATTAGCAGTTAAGTGAATGAAATGGATTCGACTGGAATTCGAACTCGGCTCTCCGATTCCTCAATACGAGCCGGTATCCACTACTCCATGGTGCCTCCTATGAGCCGCTAATACTCCAGGAGGCGCGGTGGAGTTGTAGAGATAAGGGTATTATATATATATATATATATATATATATATATATATATATATATATATATATATATATATATATATATATATATATATATATATATAAAAAATTATTTATTTGAAAATTATAAATATAAATATGTTATAAAATCACTACAAAATAGCCATTTTGTTTCAACACCTCTGGTGTCTTATCAAGTGATGATGTTGAATGTAGAATAAAGGGTTTTAAAAGATTCAAATCAATTGACCAACCCTCGCAAGGGGGAACGCTGTTACATAAGCTGGGTTGACCAATCAAAATACAAGTATACGAGAATTCAAAAAACTTGACAACGAACTAAGGTTATAATAACTACACTGAATTAATAAAATACAAACAATTTTTACAAAATCCGTTGATACTCACAAATGAACAGATTTTTTTAAGCATTTGCAAATATAATATCTGTAATTTATTCAATCAGACATGCCTAAAATATATATATATATATATATATATATATATATATATATATATAAATATAAAAACAATGTTTAAAATACTTATCTTATACAAATTATAGTTTCAATGATCACTTAGTATTTACCATAAAATTATGACGGTTTTTAAAGTCAAAATAATATTAGCTTAATATATATTCAAAAGTCAATTTTATTTCAAATAAATAAGCATTTAATATGCATTTAATTATGTAGAGAGCCGAAAATATTTTTAATGTTTTTATTTCTTGCGGTGAGTGTTTATATATATATATATATATATATATATATATATATATATATAGCAGTGAACATTGAAGTCAACATTCAAAGGTGACATATTATTTCATACCAGACGCGATCATCAGACATGATGCTTACGTCTGGCATGAGACAGTCTGTCGCCTCTGAGTGTTGACTTCAATATTCGCTTTTATATTTACATAAGATCTATCTCTGATATTGAGAACTTTATCTCATAAATATAGCACACCTTAAAACTATATTTCTTCATATATACACATATATATATGTTTGTGTGTGTGTGTGTGTGTGCATATATATATATGATATAAATTTGTATAATTTTATATATCAACAAACAGTATTTAAAAAAATATGACAAATTAGAAAACTTCTTGTGATGCATTTCATCCGTTAGGATTTCCTCGGACTGGGTTTTGTTGATGTTGCGCACAAAAAAAAAAAAGACGCAGGTAGTTTCAAAATATTTTGTAAGATTATTTTTCGTTTCAATCTAGCCAAATTCATTTGTATTGTTATTCTTTTTTCTCCCATCACCTTCTCCCTTACTATCCCAATTCTATGACGATATAAAATATACCAAGACTAGTGATATATTGTAATAGGCTGGACGCAAATGTACCGTGGTTGAACTAGCGATCAAGGCAACTTTCCAAACATTTTCGTCTCGGTGGATTATTTTGTCTTTTAATCAAAGTGGCATTCCCTATGTCAAAATTATGATCCATTTTGTTACGATGAATAACCAATACATTTTGTGTGTCTACTTCTATCCAAAAACATTTTACCTAAACAATCAAATTATTCCGATATATTAATGATGCTCTACTAATAGTCCCACCAATCATTAATCTTGTAGTGAGTTGAATCCACACTGAACGCTCCATATTTATTTGATTGATTATTTTTTTTTTTACAGTTTATCAACATTTTGCTGGGTTCTATAGCCTTGGATGGCAACCAGTCTAGGAGAAGGACAACTCTGAATTCAAAACCTGCGGAGGGTTAAAGCCAGATTATATTTTTAGATTGTAAAAAGTCTTTTTAGATAATAATGATTTTACTAATACAGGTTTTACTAATTAACCCATAGTTGGAGAGAGAAAAGGTGGATTCATGCCTTTCCCAAAGGTATTTGCGCGTAAGTGAATATAACGAACCCGGCTGGAATTCGAACTCGGCTATCCGATTAGCAATTAAAGGGCCATTATTCTTTACACCACTCGCACATCCAATACTGGTATTCCAAAGTGGTCACCCATCTGGGTACTGAGGCTTGACGTTGCTTAACTTCGGTGATCGTACAAGAACCGCTGTTTCAAAGTGATATGGCCGTAAGTCTCTATAATTGTAGTATTGTGATAAACTAAGTAGACACTACGCTGTATGCTCAACTCTTATGCCATTGTAGTAAGTTGAATCTTACCAATTACAGGGCAAAAAAATTACATTTTCAGGACAAAAGCTGGTTATTTTCAGGGCAAATCTATTCTGTACCCAACACTGTAAATGTTCCTCGCGTATGCTTGTGGTGCTTTTTCTAAGTGTAGCTTAAATGTGGCACAAGACCGAAAGCAAGGATCGAATTCACTATTCAGTCGTAACTGATGTAGCGAGCCAAGCTTGCTAACCGTTACACTCTGTAGAAGTGCCCTCTTGTACGCTTAGTAGGTACAAGTGTGTGAGTACCCATCCCTTTTTTGTTACGGGGGCGGGTAACAGTGAAATTAATGTCTACCGGCCTGTATGTCGAGAAATTCTACAAAGAAAACGTACCTATTGACAGGTACAAATTCGATTTCTGTCGGGAGGTACATTTACTTGAACACCATCTCTTAGTCGGTAGACATTTTAATTTAACTGCTTAATAAAATAAGAATGTCTACTCAAACACGCGTACCCACTAAATATAATGTTTATAGTATTAATCCATTGAGCCCTGACCACTGCTTTACCGGTGGTAGAGAAAAATGACTTAATGCCCAGCCACCGGTTGAAGGGTGGTAGAGAAAAATGACTTAATGCCCAGCCACCGGTTGAAGGGTGGTAGAGAAAAATGACGTAATGCCCAGCCACCGGTTGAAAGGTGGTAGAGAAAAATGACGTAATGCCCAGCCACCGGTTGAAAGGTGGTAGAGAAAAATGACTTAATGCCCAGACACTGGTTGAAGGGTGGTAGAAAAAAATGACGTAATGCCCAGCCACCGGTTGAAGGGTGGTAGAGAAAAATGACTTAATGCCCAGCCACCGGTTGAACGGTGGGTAAACACTTGTAACTATTTTTATATCTACCGTGAAAAACATCACATGCCAATTATTTGCGAATTTTGACTCAGGAGCTCAAGCAGAATGGTTAAAATTGTTCAGGAACACAGGGCTCAAAGAGTTAAAATTGTTCAGGGCTCAAAGGGCTAATAAGTAAATTGGTACGTTGCTGTCTTCTAATAAATAACATTATCACCATTTTTAATTTTAAAAAATGGTTTTAAATTTTGCTTGCAAATATCTCCGTCCCATGTTGATCGGTATCAACGTTTGAGCTTCATAAAAGAATCAATTTGCTTTTATTTATTTTTCATAAATGTATTTTGGGCATCAGAAAAAAAAATGGCAGAGTTCTTTGCTTGACTCTCGCACCTAAATGTCTATGTAACAAGTAACCGCGAATCACAAAAATTTACTTCCACCCTAACACTAACACTTACCTCCCACTCTTAATTTTACTGACCTAAACCACCTCTTCCATTCCAACACCTTTATCCCCACCTCAAACCACTGGTGGCACTACCACCACCATCGCTTCACCAGCGTCCTCTTGTCTGGGGTTTATTTTAGTGTTCTTCGTATCTTAAAGTTGATTCCACACACCACACCTCATACCAATGTTTTTCATTTTATTTTATTTTATTTTATTTTTTATTTATTTATTTATTTTTTTTATTTTTATTTTTTTTGCAGTGTTAAATTTGAAGACTCGGTGCTCGTGTTGTTACCCAGTACCTTCTCTTTCCCCCGTCCTTATTAATCTCTTTTTCGCATACACTCTTTCCTTCTTCCTTCCACCTTTCCATATTTCACTCACTCACTCACTCACTCACTATCTATCTATCTATCTCTCCCTCTCCTTCTTCCACTTTTGTTTCCTTGCTGTTATTATACACTCTCTTTTTTTTTTCTTCGGGTGCTTGCCTTTGCATATTTCTTTACCCTGGTAGTCATTCGCTTAACCTATCGTTATATTTTCCTTCACCTACATTTTTCTTCTTACCCTTTGTATCTCTATATATCTATCTATCTATGACTGTTTTATATCCATCTAACTATCAATCACTGTTTATATATCTATCTAAATATCTATCTATTTACGGTTTATCTCTAGTATAATCTGTCTATCTATAACTATTTCTATCTATCTATTTATATCTGTTTCTATCTATCTATCTATAACTATTTCTATCTATCTATAACTATTTCTATCTATTTATCTATCTGTATCTGTTTCTATCTATCTATAACCGTTTCTATCTATCTTTAACTGTTTCTATCTACCTATCTATAACTGTTTCTATCTATCTACCTATCTATCTATATCTTTTTCTATCTATCTATCTATATCTTTTTCTATCTATCTATCTATAACTGTTTCTGTCTATCTATTTATAACAGTTTCTATCTACCTATCACTGTTTATCCATCTAATTATTTATCTTTAACTGTTTATATCTATCTATGACTGTATATGTATCGAAATATCTATCTCTCAGTAGTTTATATCTATCTGTTTTACTATCTATCTATGACTGTTTATAACCGTCTATCTGTCTACGACTGATTCTAATAATATCTATCTCTCGATGACTATTTTTATATATCTGTCTCTCTATCTATGTTTATATCTATCTTCCTATCTAGGACTGTTTATATCTATGACTACTTGTATGTATCTATCTATCTATGACTGTTTATATTTATTTATCTTTGACTATCTATCCATCTTTCTCTGTCTGTATCTATTTATCAATCTATGATTGTTTCTGTTTATCTGTCTAGATGTTTTTATCTATCTGTGACTGCTTATATCTATCTATATATGGTTTACTTTAAAGTTTATCTATGACTTTAAAAATTTTGATCTGTCTATGTATCTGTGACTGTTCATGGGGATCTGCTTTCACTCACTATTTATTTATTTGATGGTGTATTGATTCCTTACCTTTTGCTCACTTTTATTCAAGTTACACAATGTAAATTTCCTTTGCATATATCGGTATAATTCTAAATTAGATAGATAGATAGATAGATAGATAGATAGATAGATAGATAGATAGATAGATAGATATGAACAGAGATAGATAGATAGATATGAACAGAGATAGATAGATAGATAGATGATAGATGATGAATGGATAGATAGAATAGAATGAGAGATAGATAGATAGATAGATAGATAGATAGATAGATATGAACAGATAGATAGATAGATAGATATGAACAGATAGATAGATAGATAGATAGATAGATAGATAGATAGATAGATAGATAGATAGATATGAACAGAGATAGATAGATAGATAGATAGATAGATACATAGATAGATAGATAGATATGAACAGAGATAGATAGATAGATAGATAGATAGATAGATAGATAGATAGATAGATAGATAGATAGAAACAGACTTGAACGAACAAATCTATAGGCAAATTGAACTTCAAAAACAGAATTAGGAGAAATAAAAGAAGGAAGGAAGAAAGAATGAGAATATTTTAGAAAAAGAAAGAATAATCTAAACCAAATTTAATTTTTTAAAAGTAGAAAGAGAAAAAAAAAGTTTAAATTCAAAGTTTAGAAAAAAGAAAAACTAAACTAAATTCAAAAGTTTTTAGAAGTAGCAAGAGAAAGAAAGAAAGAAAAGTGTCTAAATTAAAAAAAGAAAGAAAGAAAATAGAAAGAAAGAAAGAAAATAGAAAGAAAGAAAGAAAGAAAATAGAAAGAAAGAAAATAGAAAGAAGGAAAGAAAGAAAATAGAAAGAAAGAAAGAAAATAGAAAGAAAGAAAGAAAATAGAAAGAAAGAAAGAAAGAAAAAGAAAGAAAGAAAAAAGAAAGAAAAAAGAAAGAAAAAGAAAGAAAGAAAAAAAGAAAGAAAGTCTAAATTAACAAAGTTTTAGAAGAGAAAGAAAAAATCTAAAATTCAAAAGTTTTTTAGAAATAGCAAGAGAAAGAAAAATGTCTAAATTCAAAAAATTTAGAAGTAAAGAAAGTCTGAATTAAAAAAAGATTTTAGTAGAGAAAAAAAGAAAATGGAAACTATCAACTAAATTCAAAATGTTTTAGAAGAAGCAAGAGGGAGGAAATCTAAAATTAAAAACTTTTAGTAGTAAAGAAAGTCCAAATTAAAGTTTTAGAATAGAAAGAAAAATCTAAACTAAATTCAATTTTTTTTAGAAGTAGCAAGAGAAATAAAGAAATTAAGTAGTCGAAATTAAAAAAAAAATTAGAATTGAAGTCTAAATTTTTAAAAATTACTAGAGAAAGAAAGAAAAAATTAGAAAAATCTAAACTAAATTCGAACGTTTTTACGAATCAAGAGAAAGAAAGTAAATTCAAAAGATTTTTAGAAGTAAAGAAAAAAGTGTAAATTCAAAAAATTTAGGCGTAAAGACAGAAAGAAAATCTAAATTCAAAAACTTTTTAAAAGAAATAAATAAAGGAAATAAAGTCTTTAAAAATTTTAGAAAGAAAAAAGAAATGAAGAAAAATATTTAAATTCAAACAATTTTAGAAATAAAGAAAGAACGAAAGAAAATCTACATTCAGAAACTTTTAGAAAGAAAGAAAAAAGTTTAAATACAAAAAGTTTTAGAAGTAAAGAAAGAAAGAAAGAAAGAAAGAAAGAAAGAAAGAAAGAAAGAAAGAAAGAAAGAAAGAAAGAAAGATCACGGTTAGAAAAATATTGAGAGATCTGCGAAAGAGGGCACAGGAAGATATGCACAAGGTGGTGAAATCCAGTTACGGATATTCTTACCGCGTGTTATGCTACGGGCGTCATCATCATCATCATCGTGGTCGTCTTTATCAATAAACTGCTATCATCATCATTAACCACCCCTACCATCACCATTTAAGTTCCCGTTATCACTATACCACCATCATTATCATCATCATCGACGTCGTCATTTATCAGCAACATTTTTCTTCTCCCCTCCATCCACTGCTCATGTTTTCTTTCACTTTTTTAAAGACTTTAATTAGAAAAGTTATTGTAAGTTGAAATTACGGGTGTGGGTGAAAAAATGTAGAAAAACGTTGTCATTTCCAAATTTCGGCACAGCCTTACGGAGGCGGGTCTCTGTCTGTCTGTCTGTCTGACTGTCTGTCTATCTTTCTGTCTGTCTGCTCATGTTCACCCCCTCTTTCCCTTCAAGTACGAACCGCCCTCCCCCTACGGACGCAAACAAGGAGACAAGAGAGGAAAGACGAAACCAACAGCTCTCTCTGTCACCATCAACAGCAGCATCTTGTCATGTGGGAGTAGGTCCAAGAACCAAGAGGCACATGCTTGTGTGGAAAATTTCGTAAAAAGTCCCCACTGTCAATCGGCCTTACACAGTTTAACAAAAAAGTAACAAACAACGAAATCGACAACCACCTTGCATTTATATTTATATACATATGTGTGTGTTTGTGTGTGTGTATTTAGTACCATAAATGTAATAAGAGAAAAAACAATCGACGGTGTCAGGGTCCATGGATATTCTTTAAGTTATAAAACAGTGAGGTCAAAATCAAAAGAAAAAAAGTGAAGATTTTAAAAGGAAAAAAGAGGGGAAGACAACACAAGCTAGCAGACAACGCAAGTGAGAGAGAAAGACAGAAAAATAAACGTTAAGAAACAAAACAACGTACGCACACACGCACACAGACCAAACACTATTGGAAAAAAAGAGGAAAAAAAACACACAAAGATACAAGTGAGTTTTAAGAAATGTATGGTTGTTGTTTTTTCACCCAGAGAAAGGCGCCGTCAAATCATCTGTCATTATAGATCGTCGACTTAATAGATACGTACACTCGACAACACCAGATTTCAAGAAAGGTAAAATACATATATAATAATTCTTTTGTTTAATATATATTCGTTTTTGCGCATCCATCATATTCTACATCATTTTTTGACTATTGTTTTATTGGTAGATTTGTTACTGTGATTGTGATTGTTTTTTTTTTTTTATCTGATATTGATTATTTAACGATTGCTTCATTGGTCCACTTATTTAATATCTTTTTTTTTTTTTCTTTTTTTTTTTTCTTATCATTTTTTCTCTTTTTAAGCTGCGTTTTTTTTGTGTCTTTTTTTGTTTTGTTTTGATTTTTCAATCTGCAAAAAGAAAAAAAAGTTTCTACTTCCATCTTAAAGAAAGAGCGTTTTCAAGAATTTTCACGCAGGGGCGTAAAATACATTTTTTGAAGAAAAAGAAAGAAAAAAAAAAGAGTTATCTGTTTTTTAACCCTTACCATAATTAATAAGGCAGTCATTATTGAGATTATTAATTTTTAGTTCGAAGTCTGGAACACTTTTATTTAATTAACCACTGTCTTCTTATGAACATTACGCACAATAATACACGTTTAGAGATTATGCAGTTGTGTGTATGTGTATCGATGTACAATGTATATTTATCATACACGTATGTGTCTATGTAAAGAAAGAAAGAAAGAAAGAAAGAAAGAAAGAACAGGGCAACATCCTAGATTGTGGGCTGGTGCAAGGCAAGAGTGAGAGAGAGAGAGAGATAGATAGAGAGAGAGAGAGAGAGAGCATCCACACATCCACATTTATAATTTGCGTGATTGCGCACGTGCACTGTTAGACACACCACCCCAAACCCAGTGTACGCCTGTTTGATAAATGAGAATTGTTCGATTATCGAAGACAATTGATTATTAACTGTCTTCGATAATCGAACAGTTCTCATCTTTCCGAGATGATGTTTACATTTTTATTCTTAACATTACTGGAAAGAGAGAGAGAGAGGGAGAGCGATAAAAGAAGAGAAGAAATACAATGTGTGTGTGTGTGTGTGTGTGTGTGTGTGTGTGTGTGTGTTGGTGACAGTGTTTCTTTTTCTTTTTTGGCTTTTTTGTTGTTGTTGTTGTTGTTAGGTGGGGGGGGGACATTCTCTCCTGTTCCCTCCAACTATGCCCTTTTTATATTCCACGTCGCCCCTGACTGGTGCTTCTTCCTCCCATCTTACATAGGCACTTAAACAAAAACACTAACAAAATCAGATCCACAACAACGCACTTATACCTTCCATGACACACGCTACTGCACAAATTCACACGCAAACATGTCAGCAGCCTTTATTTATTATACTCTCTCTCTCCCTATAGTTATCTCTCTATCGCGCATGCCTTCTCTTTGTCGTACACACGCATACTAAAACAATCATTTACACGTGTACCTAAAAAGAACAGTTTGTTGTCCTACTAAACACAATATATATATATGCAGAGAGAGAGAGAGAGAGAGA